AAAAAGGAGAATACATTATTCCATAAAACATTAATTTTTTTAATTTTCATCAGGAAATACGTTAAAACATATCAGATAGTACATGTCAGAAATACGTTAAAACATATCAGATAGTACATGTCAGAAATAAGTTAAAACATATCAGATAGTACATGTCAGAAATACGTTAAAACATATCAGATAGTACATGTCAGAAATACGTTAAAACATATCAGATAGTACATGTCAGAAATACGTTAAAACATATCAGATATTACATGTCAGAAATAAGTTAAAACATATCAGATAGTACATGTCAGAAATACGTTAAAACATATCAGATAGTACATGTCAGAAATGCGTTAAAACATATCAGATAGTACATGTCAGAAATACGTTAAAACATATCAGATAGTACATGTCAGAAATACGTTAAAACATATCAGATAGTACATGTCAGAAATACGTTAAAACATATCAGATAGTACATGTCAGAAATACGTTAAAACATATCAGATAGTACATGTCAGAAATACGTTAAAACATATCAGATAGTACATGTCAAATAAAATGTAGAAATAAGAACATGTTAAGTACGCATTACTGTCAGGAAGCGTTTCAACCTTAAGAAAACTGCACACACTTAGCATTAAGTGTGATTTAGTCGTAGTAAGAAAAAGATCCAAAAATCTCTTAACACGCTCCTCTCTGCGGAGCCCTGGAAAAAACGTTTACGGTGGCAATGAAGACACCATGACATCGTCTTTTGTTGTTAGCATTGATTAAAAATCAAACAACCCCAACAAAAAAAAAGTTTTTCGTATAACTCCTTTAACAAAAAGCTGATAGCGAGCATTGGGGGTGGGGATGAAAATTGATAAAACATGCACACAAGTAACGCACTTTATAAGAATCCCAATTAGTGCGCCCCCCCTCCCCCTCAAGGCTCGCAATCACGCCCCTGAACTCTATGAATATTCTAAATCACAACCCCCATATGCGCTTTACATCGCAGATTTATTTCACCAACTATTTCAGAGAAAAACAAAAGAAACTAGAGCGCACCAAACACATAGTTAAAAACAAAAGAAACTAGAACGCACCAAACACATAGTTAAAAACAAAAGAAACTAGAACGCACCAAACACATAGTTAAAAACAAAAGAAACTAGAACGCACCAAACACATAGTTAAAAACAAAAGAAACTAGAACGCACCAAACACATAGTTAAAAACAAAAGAAAAAGAAAGTCTCATTTAGCGCAGTTATCGGGAATTTTATTTCGTGAAATCCTTGGCATCATATTTCATTCATCTTCCCTTAGAAAAAAGGGGAAAAAACTGATTGTTGTTTGGGGGGGGGGGAGAGAGTGGCTGAAAACTTGGTAGAATCTGTTGCCATCGGCAACGGGTCTATGTGCTAAGTCTCAGTGTGGGAAGTGGGTCAGTTAGCCGTCTGGAGCTTTTTCAAGGGACGACAAAAAGCGAAGTTGATCTAAAGGATTTAAAAATGAGCACAGTGTCCTGCCATGAGCATTGACTTGCTATCTTTTAGAGCGAAAATGAATTGATATTTTCTTCTGTGCAGTTGCCACACTGTGGTCCTGATCTATATTATCTATTTTATTTTGTCACAGGCGTTTTGACAGCTGTCAAGTGCCGTGCCAGTTGGATGAAAACTGACGGGTGCTTCCATCGGTGCGCTGTCAACATCACGACTTGTTGTCAGGGTTACAGTGGAGACGACTGCCAAGAAAGAAAACCAGGTATAAGTCGATGCAGATCCGTCCCGTTTCTTGACACCCCCCCCCCAAACTTCTGCCATTTTTCGGTTTTTGTGCCACTTTCATTTAAAATTGATATTTTTTATTTTTCCACATCTCAACTTTGGGCACCTTCAATTACTGACGCCCCCAGTGAACGCAGCGGTTGCAATTTCCACGCTTCGGCCCTGCTTAATGAATTACAAATTTTAATTTGTCCAGCTAGAAACCACAGAAATAAAGGTCTTGTTTTGCCTTGTTAGCCTAAAAACCAAGGAAGTAAAGATTTTACTTTGACCAAAAGCAAGATCGTGCACTAAAATAATCATTCATTTCTACTTTGATATATTTTAGAGCGTCTTAGAACTGGACATTTCCGATCTGGCTAATTTTATCATCGTGCTGAGTGTTGATTCATTTCATTACATGAAAATTAAATGTCCAGAGTTAAAATGTATAAGAAATACCCCCAAAGTACGGCTGAGAAATACCCCAAACTACAGCTCATCTCTTAATAATTGTACTTTGATGCACTTTTCAAAAGACCATGTGAATTTTGTGCTACTAAATTTTTTCTAAATGTTGGCAACTGGCTTAGGCCACCCTTGCAATTAATTTCCCAAATGCACTGCTTCCCTCTTATCATTTATAACATTTAGATTATAAGTACTTTTCTTGCAAATAATAACCAAAACTCTATTGAGGCCCGTGTACCAGCCATACAAAGATTGTCATATTTCGACTTTACTTTTAAAAAAATTCATGTTAAGGGTATATATATATATATAGCTATATCTTATTATTTCTGACAGTGTGTCCAGTTGACAATGGTCAAACTTGCAGTGGACATGGATCATGTGAGACAGAAAATTCAACTTGTCTCTGTGAGGTATTTACCTTTGTTTCCTTTACTATAGAGCGTGAAGTAGAATAATAATAAATAAAATAATGTGTAACGAAAGGTGGAGGGGAGTATGGGGGGGGTAGTTACGACTGCCACGTGTTTTACACCTTTGGCATGTCAGTAATTCCAATAATTGTCAACCAAACCATTGAGTTTCGATGTAATGTATCAAAGATCTCAGTCTTCATGGAACGGCAATGTATCAAAGACCTCTGCCATAGGATGTCGGTGTGTCAAAGACCTCTTACTGGGATGTCAATGTATCAAAAACCTCTTTCTTGGGATGTCAATGTATCAAAGACCTCTGTCTTGGGATGTCAGTGTTGTAAAGACCTCTGTCTTGAGATGTCAGTGTATCAAAGACTCTCTTTATTTACTATAGAACTGATTTATCAAAGAGGCATCTGCTTTTCTGTCTTAAAATTTCATATTGAATGTAATCGAGGAAGGTTTTAAACGCAGCTTACACATTCAATATCATTTTGACGGGAAGGTTTTGAAGGCATAGCTTGCACATTTGTGTCCATTGCCTCAGGCCTTCCAAACACCAGTTCATGATACCCTCATTGAGCAGCCCTTGCAACCAGTGAAATATCCTCAGCACAGACAGGCAGAGAAGCATTGCAAACCCCTGTACATACATAAGAGCCAAAGAGATTCATGCATTGATCGTGGGCCCTTAATTTATAGCAGAAGAAGAAGAAGAAGAAGGCATAGCTTACAATTTTATAAGTCCTATTGACAGAAGGTTTTAAGGGCATAGCTTACAATTTTATAAATCCTGTTGACAGGAAGGTTTTAAAGGCATAGCTTACAATTTTATATATATACTTGTGACAGGAAGGTTTTAAAGGCATAGCTTGTGAGCTTTGTGAAGATGGCAGATACGGACAAGATTGTTCAAAGAGTGAGTTTCGTATTTTAAAAGTAGTTCATTAACGGAATCTACGAACTGATTGCCCGCAAGTTACGAGTACTTTGTTATAAACAGTCACACTAACATCAGTGAATAAATTTATCATAGCTTTAACTGAGAATGACTTGAATAACGTTGTCATGAGTTAAACGCAGAATGCATTGAATAAAGTTATCACGACTTGAACTGAAAATGAATATAATAACATTATGAACGGTAAATAAATTGAATAACTTTGAGAATAACTTTAACTTCAACGGAGAATGAATTGAATAAAAGTTATCATGACTTCAATTGTGAATTAAAACTAATAAATGCAACACGACTTGAACTGATTTCAGTGTGTACGTGTGTACACGGTCAGTGCAACAGTGGCAGCAGTGGAGACGGTGTCTGTTCCTGTGACAACGGATTCAGGGGCGTTAACTGCGATGAACGTAAGTATCTGACCACTTCATCGTCGGACAAGGACAATTTAATACTAGATCTCATTTGATAATTTTAATTAAGCTTAAGGGAGGTAAGTGGTGTCGCTTTAAAGATAACTTACACACTTCAACATAAGAATGCGGACAAGAAGAACCCACTAAATGTTCAAGAATGTGTTACCCTACTCTTAGGAAAGTCATTTGAAAGTTTTGAACTTCATTCAACTCAAAGTTGACACACAATTTTATGAAATAACAGGAAAAAAATATAAATACCGGTAGTAATTAAAATTACTCCTGATTGAAGATTACTAATGACTCTGAATCATGAGTATTTTTTTTTATTTTATAAATGCATCTCGTTTTTTAATTTAATTTTAATAAATAAGAATTATACAATTATTACTTATTGTCACGTGACTTTTGCAGTCCTCCAGCCACTTTTCAGTTATTTGCCCCTGCATTCCTGGAAATGCCTGCATGCAAAGTTGATAGATTAAATGTGTTTCCCCATCACAACTTTGGGCCCTAAATATCCGAGCCCACCCACCCCCCCACCCCCCTTTCCCCTGTATAGGCAGGGATTTCAGGACCTGTTCTGCTTATTAAGCTACAAACGTGAAACTTAAAACAACACTGTTTGATATGGTTAATCCGAGTTCGGAGACACAGAATAGGTGTCAGTCAGGAGGAGGACTTGTCAAAAATAATATATAGATGGTTGAGAGTATTCAATGTAAATAATCCACACAACTCCCTAGCAACAGTAGGCATACGAAAGAAAGAAATGTTCATTCATTACAATTGCATAAAAAATTAATTGAATGCCATCATGCAACTCAACTAAATGCTACTGCGTTTAAAAATACATATGGGCATACAAATATGACTTCTAACCAATTAGGCCTACCTTCTTATGATATAATAATATAAATAATATAAGTTCAAACTTAGTACATTCTAGTGACCTAAAATATGAATTGCATGATTTAACAGCAATACTCAAATGTGAGGACCTGGAGTGCTACAAGAAGAACTCTAGCAACTGGCGATGTATAGAATACAATGGGGAAGCTGTCTGTGACTGTGGTATCGGATACACCTTTGATCCTATCACAACCGAATGTAAAGGTGAGAACCTTAGAACATCTGAATCACTTAGCCTTCTTGAAAGATTCCACAATTGTTCTGTACCAGCTGTACCAACTGTACCACCCTGGCTGTTAATCTGGTCATCAATCATCCGTATTCATTTAGAGGCCATTGATAAGTTTATTTATTCTTTGGAGTTTGTTGGTAGGCTACATGACCCTGGTGTTCTTTAAAAAAAAAAAATTCCCATGATGCAAGTTGTGGCTTTATTAATATGTTTATTATAAATGAATTAGGCCATATATTTATCTACTAATAATCACATGTTGCAATTGCTAATATATTGAAAATTGCTGCAAAATAAACTAAATGAATTAATATATTTTATTTCAGCTGTAAAATAAACTAAACAAATTAATATATTATTATTTCAGCTGTAAAATAAACTAAACAAATTAATATATTTTATTTCAGCTGTAAAATAAACTAAACAAATTAATACATTTTATTTCAGCTGTAAAATAAACTAAACAAATTAATATATTATTATTTCAGCTGTAAAATAGGCCCAAACCTAATAAATGTATATATTGTTATTTCAGCTGTCAACAAATGTGAGAGTGGGTCGACCCCATGTGGTAACAACAGTTTGTGCATAGCTACTGGCCCTGGGAAATTTAATTGTGTTTGCTTTGAAAACTTCACGGGCGATGGATTTATCTGTAGACCCATTGATCCTTGTCAAAAAGACAATGGTGGGTGTGAGGTCACTACGTACTGTAGATTCACTGGACCAAATCAGGTGAGGGTTGATTTCATCATAACAGTATGTCTTAATTAAAATCATAATTGATATCCGAAATTAATTATATTAAAACAGTTTATTAAATGATTAAAGTGCTTATTTCTGGCTACATTTAGGAAGAAAAGTCTTTAATATGATGTTATCAAAGTTAATGGGCATAATATGGTCATTCTAGACAGTTTTATCTACAACTCTAATGTATTGTATTCATTCATCTTCGCAGCATGCTTGTATTTGCAATGTGGGCTTCACAGACTACGTACCTGGACAAGGCTGCAAGTTAATAAATATGTGCACACCAGCTAAATGCCCAAAGAATTCTGATTGTGAAACATATGCCCCTTTTTCATTCAGGTATGTAAAAAATGGCTTCAAAATTCTCTAAAACATTCCATCGAAATCCTCTTTATCAGTATTTATAGTCTTTACAAAAATAGCAGGCAAAATTTAGATTAATTGATTAACACATCTTCATATTTTATTCTCTATTTGGTTCAGCCCACAGTTTACCCCAACAATAAATTCTTGTAGCATATGGAAACTGATGGTTTGTAATTGATTTTAATGTTAAATTTCTTATTTGAAATAGCAAAGTGAACTTTGAATTTTCAGATGTGTTTGCCGGCCAGGATACCTTAGAGTGGGTAGTTCTTGCAATGGAAACATCCTAGAGGTAATATGTCTATCACGCTTTGTAGCTACTATAAGATTTGAGGCTTGGGTATTATTGGAAGAAATGTAATTAAACAAAAATAAGTTCTAAAAATATGTCAAATTTGTAAATTGTTCATGTGACAGTTGACATAATCTTAAATGTTGTGTATGTTTATACCTATGTGTTAATATTTCTTTGTCTTTTATTTTTAAAGTTAAATGTACTTAAGTAAATATTTATTGTTATTTACAGGGTCCAGTATTTAAAATTCATTTGCTAATGTTTTTAATTGTGTACTTTTAAAAACAGCGATTGATTGATATAAATGAAAACAACAGTAGACTGAAAAAGGACCTTGATTACGCTATTGCAATGATAAAAAGCTTCTACTGGAAAGCTTTAGAGACACAAGGACCATTTACAATCTTTGTTCCAACTGATAAGGCTTTCAGGTATAAATTTCACTTTATAAAAATAGAAATTTTAAGAAATTTTTCCAGCTGAGCAGGATAAATTCTAACGATTCATAAAATTCTTCTTTTGCATTTAATTTTTTTTTATTGGTGTGTTATGGAAGTACAATTATAATGTAATTTGAATATAGAAAATATTTGATACAGAAAATATTGAGTGGGGATAAAAAATTAAAACACGACCATAGAAAAGAAAGTAAACTTGTAAAAAAATTATTTTCAAAAAATGTACACATGCATAAGACTATGATGATAATTTCTAAAATTTCTTTTTTTAACTCTTCATTCCAATAATAGTTAATTTTTTTATATTAAAAACCACACCTTTCTTTAAAACACAGAGCTATAAATAAGGCCAATAATGGCTTTAACAACTTCCTCCAATTCAAAGACAGAGCAAGGCAAATCCTAAGGCAGCATATTTTAATAGGAAAATTCAGACTGGAAGATCTCCAAGATTTTGACAAGTTCTACACTTTACAAGGCAATGCGGCAGAGATGAACATTCGTGTGGTAGGATTTTATTTTTGGTTTTATTAGAACATGTGTTTTCCCCATGTTTAGAGAGTGGAAGAAGCCAGTTTTTCCTGAAATATTATTGAAATGCTTTGTCAATAACTGCTCAGAAATGTATACATCTGAATTAGACATAATTGCCAATAGTGTTGATAATTTAAGTTAGCCCTATATGACCTAAGATAAATAAATAATTTTTTTTTAACAAAATTACTAATTTTCCAATATTTACAGAAGTTAAAATTTGATTTAGGGCCTATTGTTAACAATTGTAAGAGTTATTTAAATTTATTATTTGCTAACTATGCCAACATAGTATTAAATAACTTATGTTATAGAAGATTTATCTTAATGGTCAGTTATTCTAAATAATATCTTTTATGAAATCAAGCTTGAGGTATACATAAATAATTGCTTTGAATGAGCAACTCTTGACATCAGTCTTAAATTATAAAAATGAACTCAAACTATATTTATCATATTATAATAAATCTCAAGTTATCAAATTTACTCATGAAGAGCTCCAGTTATTACTTTTTTGATAAGCTATTGTAAATATCTTAATTTGACCTTGTGTGATAAAATACTCCAATAACTTTGCTTAACATCAGTTGCTAAATTTTTTCAAATTGTGGAGGAAAAAGTGGATAAATTTATTAATTTTGAATTTGTCACTATTCACAAAAATCTCTTTCCATTAGATTTATAATGATAAAAATATTATTAACTACATTATAGTTAAAATATAATTTTAAATTTTAATAATTATTTACTGAAGACATGTTGTTTTCTTGAAGGCTAGAAACACTTTTAAGTACAAACTGGAAGGTTCATCGGCCAAGGCAAAAGTTATTTTCAGGAATTTTGAGGCCAACAATGGGATGATACACTTTGTGAATGGAATTCTTACTTTGAGACCCCCAATTCCAGGAGATACAAATGTAAATATATGCCTTTTATCTCTTGAGTCATTTAAAATGTTCCTCAATGAAATGTTTTAAAAGAATTATTTTTCATAAAACAATAAATGATTCTAAAATTTTAAAGTTCTTATAATTGTTGACATAACCTATTTGTACACGAAATAATTTAATCAATTAAGTTTAGAATTAATTTGAGACAATTAGAATTTTTTGCAACTTTGAAAAACTTACTTTGGAAAAAGTATTTTGTTGTAATGCAATTGTAACTTTTAAAATTCGTATACTTAAGGTTAAACAAACCAAGATTTGTTAGAATCTGCCAACCTGAAATTCCTATTATTAAAAGAAATGCCTTAATTGATAAGAATATTGGGTTTATCCACAGAAATCTGCTTTAGAGCTGATAAGACAAGAACCTGCATACAACAAGTTTGAAATGCTAATAAACGTAAGTAATTTCACTCATACTTCAGGTAGGCTATCTTATTATCTATCTAGATAAACTGATTTGATTTAAATTTATATATTCATTTGTTTTCTGGATGCACTCGTGGTTTTAAATTTTCATCAAATCACCAGGCTTCTGGCATGGCTGAAGAGTTCAACAAGGAGAATATAACAATCTTTGCACCAGAGAACAAAGCTTGGGAGAGTCTACCAGTAGGCACATTGGACTACTTGATGGAGGATGAGGTGATGAATCTCTCAAGTTGACAGAAAAAAACAACAACACATATTTATATCTTATTTTATACAATTATTTCACAGTTCCTATTTCTATATGCTTTTATTCTTAAACATAACCTACCATTTTGAAGATTTTTAATTATTTCTGTATGACATACGTCTATCTTCAATAAAAAGCACTATTTTTACAAACTGATTATCTCTCAGGCAATTTCCTATTCTTAAGTCTAATCCTTAAGTCACACCCTATTTACACATAAGATATTTTCTTTATCAACATCAAGATTTCAGGTAAAACCAAACTAACAGCAATCCTGAGGAACCACATTGTACCTGGCTATGTTGACGTCACAGATCTTATTCAAAATCGTATGCTTAAATCCCAGCAAGGCGTAAACATAATGGTCAATATAACTAGACTAGTGAGTGGCTTTCTTAACAATTTTGACAGCAGTCATTATGTAAAGCTTGAATTTTTGTATTTAAAAAAGCAACTAAATATAAACCAGTTGTATATATCTGAAGAAAAGGTTAAATAACTTAGCTTATTAAGTAAAATAAGCTGAGTGAACAAAGATACTTCTCTATAACTATAAGTGTAAATGTCCATTATGAATTAAAAAATTTTATACTTTTTATTTTAAGTGTAAATATTTGAGATGAAATCTTGTACAGCAGCACACTTACTCAGTGTTTTATTTTGTCATTGTTCAATTATGTTACCTCTGGTTATTTACCATATTTTGTTCATACTATACTTCTGATACTATCTTAATTTCAGGGCCAAATTCAGCTGGGCGGACAAGTCAATGTGACACAGGTGGATATACCTTGTTCTAAAGGTGTCTATTACTACCACATACAAGGCTTACTTATACCTGAATACCTAGGTCAGATAGCTCCTAGTGTTTGTGATGATGAAATGGAGAAAAAAGTTAAGGTACTGAGATCATGTTAATATCCTTATCTCAGTCGGCAAATATCAAATAAAACAATTTCTCTGCAAATAATAGTATTAATAATAATAATAACAATAATATTTTTTATAAAAATAATATAAAATATAGTGATAATATAATAGTAATAAAAATATGAAGATAATAATAATAATATTACTTACTATAACTGATGAGAAACTGTGTCACTTGACACTTGTTCCTCTGGATCTCTTGTATGCCACCTCTACCCTTCCCCACCACCTAAACATTCATCTATGTTAAGCAGTTATGCAAAATTACATTTAGACAGAATTGTGAATCAGCAAGTTTATATTTTACATAGACCTAATGTTTTTATGATCTTTTAAGTTTGTTACTAATCTTTATAGCATGTGTTAAAACTGTCGAATTTACTAAATGTATTTTAAAATTATAACAATGAGTTTTTATTTGACATGCATGAAAAGTTTACTTCAGTTATTTGATATGATCTTGTCCAGGGACCATGTAGTTTGTGTCAACTTGAAGTGCCTTGTGCTCAGTCTTCTGACATTCCCACTGTAAGTTAATTTTTAATTTAAGAAAAATTTTTTTTTAAAATTCGTTTGTAAAAGATCAATAGATTTTTGTTATGCAAAGTGGGAAAATGAATGTATGATTATTAATGGTGGCGATTTGAATTCACAAAATACAAATTAATTTCTCCAATGAAGATTTAACACATAGATATTTTAATTTTACAGTTTAAAATTTGATGCAACCTTTTCATCCACAATTGCAAACAGTTTAGCAACCACCATCAAGCAAAGTCATTGGGCATTGCATTACTATCACACAAGCCCACAACAGTTTAATGAAATAAAGTAATAAATGTAGCTCTTCATAAATAAGTTTTGATAACTATAGATTAATTTTTTTTTTTATAATTTAAGACTGAAGTTGACCGTTGCTTATTTTGGATGCGGCGCAGAGGCCGATCAGTTATGGGCTGCTCCAAAACTTGCCTAAGAAAAATCAAGGTAATGCATTTATTTATCATGTAAAATTTTATTCATTTTCAAAGAAAGCTTAAACAACTTTTAAATATGGACTACCCCTTTCATAAATAATAATACCCTTTTATGTTTTTTGGGGAATAATAGATATTTATAAATACAGAGATTACACATTGGTAAAAATCATAATTTTAGGTCTAAAAAGAATTTCTGACTCTAACATCTCCATACATTAAAAAGTTCATAATATAGAATAAATATTAATTGTAAACATTGAGTTTATATTTTACATGATTGCCTAGCTTACTAGGATGACATCAGAGGACTGCAATTAGCTATTTTCGGAAATCAGTTGGAGGCAAAGAAATTATTAATATAACTTTAACTCTTGAATTGCCTGAACACAGGTTCCCAAATGCTGTAAAGGCTTCTATGGCTCACAGTGCCTGCCTTGTCCAGGAGGATTTAGGAATCCCTGCAGTGGAAGGGGCGAGGTTTGTATATATTATTTAATCCTATTAAAAATTTAAGTGATATCGCATTCATAAAGCTATATTTTTTAAATTTAATTTAAAATAAAAGGATAGCTAGATCTACTGGTACACATAAACTTTACATATAATAATGTTATCACTCAATGGCTCATAACCTTAATTTTTGTTATTTTAGTAGGTCAGTTAAATATGTCTTCAATATACAAAAAATTAAACTAAACTACAACACCAATTTTTGTTAGTGTAATTTGGCTGTTTCTTTTTATTTTTAAGTGCTTGGACACAATAAGTGGGACAGGATATTGTGTTTGCCAGGCTAACATAACTGGTACAGCATGTGAGAAATGCAAACAGAGCAAAACCTTTGGACCTGAGTGTAACCAAAGTAGGTTTATTTTACCAATAAAAATATCATTTGTGACATTAAATCCTTTGGAAAAAATGTTAGTCTGTGTTAGATGCATACCCATAGATTTAAGGATTCACTGAATTTTCTTAGCATAATATTTCACCATGATTACTGCCTAGTTCTGTTAAAAATGTTAACAGGGATTAATTTTTATAGAAATAATTGCAACACATATATGGCCACTTGAAAATTAAATATCACTTGGTATTGTTAATTAATTAAAACCTTTGCTATTTTTTTGGTAAGTTGGTGGGATTATTAATCTAATTGGTTTAATTATTATTTTCAGTATGCACATGTTTATATGGTACCTGTGATGATGGCCCAAATGGAACAGGCAAGTGCAAGGCAGGAAGTTGTCAGGAAGGCTATGCTGGTGATGATTGCAACAAAAAACTCCTGGCCTGTGGGAGGGGAATAATCTTGTGTCATGCTCATGCCAACTGCTATATAAGTGATGACAATAGTTACAAGTAAGAAATTGAATTATCTGCAATTTAAAAACTAAAGTTTTTAGATAAATTTTATGCATATTATTTATGTTATAATAATCTAAAAACCTTTTTTTATTGCTCAATATGAGACAAATTTAAATCTTAAAGTAATTTCTTTTTTAAAATATAGTTTTAAATCTTTATAGTAAATAATAATTGAAAGATTTATTGAATATTTTTAAAAATTAAATATTTTTGTGTGTGCATTATAAAGAAAATGTTATATATATATATATATATATATACACACACACATACACACACTCACACACACACACACACACACATATATTTATTTTATTTATTCATTTTAATATTTTAAAGAATTCAAAAATTTTGTTTTTATCAGATGTCTTTGTGGGCCTGGATATGTTGGTGATGGGGAAGATTGCAAGGAAGCTAATCCATGTGATGAAAATAATGGAGGTTGTCATAGCCAGGTAACAAGAGAAGAAGCTATTTTTGCATAATGTTGGGAAGGGGTTGTCAGTGCAGTACAGAAATTCAATCTTTAAAAGAATAAATTAAAATGTTAAGTTTTACATTAGAAATAACAAATGGTAGACTTAAGTCTGGATATGTGGATTATTTACAGACATACTTAAGATTAACTAGCAGACAGAAATTCATTAATAAAGTCTCCTGTTAAAATAGGGGAATATAGATATAGGGGAATGAATTAAGATATTGTAAAGAATTTAAAAATGTACTGAGTACATTTTCAATGTCTGTTTATACTGAAGTTTCTGTTGTTTCATATTTGAATTGTTTTATTTCTTTTACCTGCCTAATATTTTGAAACGAAGAATAGTATTTTAAAAGCTAATTTAAGTTTATATTGGGAACCATTAATATATTATTTATAACAATCCTTTAAATTTACAAATTAGAGCCTACCCAAATCTTTTTATAAAAAACACAAGACTGTTGAAAAAATATTTTTAAACATGCACATTAACTTTAACCCAAGTTATATTTGCTGCACCTTCATATATAAAATAATATATTGCTACCATTTTTCTTCTTACTCCAGGCAGCTTGCATCAAGCTGGGTCCTGGTACACACAGATGTGATTGTAATGAAGGTTGGATGGGAGATGGGTTTGCTTGTATAGCTAAAGTGGCATGTAATAATCACACAGATTGTCACACTAATGCATCTTGTCATGATCTCAGTCTTGGCAAGGTGAGAACAATACAAGTATTTGTCATTTACTTTTTAATTATATTCAAAACTTTTGCTCAACTCAATCTGTTATACAGGATAAGCATAAGCCTAAGATATATAAGATTTTCCTTTTTTTTGTATGAAATCTTTTAATAAGTTTAACTGCAATATCAATACTCTATTTGCAAGAGACATCTTAACACATAGAAAAAATTTAAAGAATGCTGTTTGAAAAAAACAAATTTCAAAAAATTGATATGTTTTGTTTTAATAAAAAAGCTAAACAAAGAAAAAATATCAAGGAAAAATTATTTTTCAAAGTTATCAATGTTCTATTTACATTTTCAGTACCACTGCATGTGTAATGTGGGGTTCAGAGGGAATGGCTCTTATTGTGAACTTGTCAATCCCTGTCTGGAAAATAATGGAGGTTGCTTTCCTAAAGTGAGTTGTCACTCATAGCCGATTAACTAGCCTTTTTGTTTACTCTAAAATGAATATTGGAAGAATACCAGGAAAAAAACAGAAGTTTATATTACAAAAAAAAGTCCAGTTGACGGAAAAATTGCTCACTGATAAATGCAATAGTTAATGCCTATAGTTTAAATAGTTTGTTTGTTTTGTTTAAAATATCTAGGCCATCTGCACACCTTTGACCTTTGGGGAGAGAAGTTGTACTTGTCCTGAAGACATGGCTGGAGATGGCACCAGATGCTTTGGAACTATTTTTAATGAAATAATCAATCATTCAAATCTGACAAAATTGTCATCTTTATTGAAGGTCAGTCCATTTTTTGAAGAAATAATGTTTTAAAATTAGATGTTTTATAAAAAATTCATCAAATTTTTTTTTGTCATATGCATCACAATAAGGCAGAGCTCTATAATCTATTTGTAACCCAACAACAGAATTAGAGAAAAAAATATGGTTAAGAAATAAGCTTTCAGAAATAACATTAAAAAACCCTTATAGTTGAATTTTAAATGGAGAAATATGTTTTAACTTAATTATTTATGACAAGTAGTAAAAGCTTTTAACCATTTAATGTTGGTTTATGGCTTTCAAAAATGTGAGTTTGTTGTGTATAAATTTGGAAGAAAGTATTACAGTAAAGTCAAGATTCACTTATCTTTAAAAAAATTGAAATATTTAAAAATACCAAAATTGCACATCTTTTGACCTCACTCATACAAATCTTTTTAATTAAAAGTTTTCTAAATCTTAACAATAAACTTATCCGATGGTGTTTAAATAACTTTTAAGTTCTTTTTTATCTTCAAATTTTTTTAGCACAGGAATTAATATATTTTTGTCGATTTTTTATGAGTTTATTTACTTCCTCTGCTTGTCATCAATTTCAGTTAATTTATGTGGGCCTGATCTGCGTTGTATTTATTCATTGTTATTTCCATGCAGAGAATAAATTTAAATAACAACATACTGGATGATGCTAATGAGAATCTCACTCTGTTTGCACCTTCTGACATGGCTATGGAGAGCTTCCTGACCTCTTTCAACAAATGGAATACATCATCATATTTTGAGAAGGAAGAAAATGTTATGACCTTTTTCAAGTAGGTGAATAAAGAATGGATTAAAATGATGGTATATGAGATAAGAATAGCATGTGACCAAGGCATAACATTTCTATATGTCTGTAAAACATTAAGGTGTCACAAACTATGTTTTGTCTAAATTTTCACATATTGTCCCAAACAAGTTTTACAAAAATAATTTACATAAATAAATGTAGCAATAGATATTAAAATGAAAAATCAAAGAAAATCATGTTGTACTATAATAGCTTAAGGTTTGTGTATGAGGAACAATCACTTAAAGTTTTTTTTTTTGTGATGCATTTCTTCTTCACTGAAAAAACCCTTGTTATCTTAAATGAAAGGAAATATATTTTACTTTTTTTCATAAATAGTGCTTAATTTTTTTCAGCTTTCACACGGTTTATTCTGGACTAACCTCAAAAGATTTTCAGTCAATGATTGACATCACAAAACGTTATCAGACTCTTTATGATGGCTTCTTTGTGCGAATAGTTAAAGCTAAAGAGGTAGCCTATTATGTCACTGGCAAAATTGTAATGCAATAGGGACATAAATTATTTTTGAAAGTTCAATTTCTAAAAAATTCAGAAGACATGTATAAAATGTGTATATTTCAACAGCTTTGTAATAATGTGTAGCATGGATCATATTTAGTTTTCATGTTTTCATAGAAAGATCAAAATATGAAATAGTTAAAGGCAATGTCTATATTATTTATACTAAAATTGCAATGTTATTACTCTGTTATGTTCTCATCATCATTATTTTGTATTGTTGTTTATTAGTTGCCTATTTTCATCCTCAGGGTCTGCATCTATTTGCAAACCATTCTAGTTTTGCAGTATTTCTTCAACCTGATATAGCTGCAGTTAATGGATATATTCACATCATAGACAAGGTCTGCATAGTTTATAACTCATTTATTTACAATGTAGCACTTAGTTTGAAAAAAACATTCTTAGCTGAGCTAAGTTGGGTTTTAGTATAAAAAATATTTTGTTTGCCTAAATTGTGAACCATTATTTTATTATACATCCTTTAGGTACTGGAGCCATTTTTCCCAGAATCCAATGCACCTTCACTGGAAGACACATTGTCCTCAAGAAAAGATGTTCAATTTTTTTACCAGGCTCTCAATGTAAGAATACAATAATAATTAACACCTCTCATATTATTGATAAAGAAAAAATAATGATATTGTATTTGCGTAAAGTTGGCTACATAGATTTTAGATTATGCATCTTCAGTCTGGGACCCATTTACCCAGAAGAACGCTGACAGGTTGGAAGCAGTCCAGCGACGAACAGCACGCTTTGTCCTAAACCGCTACAGGAATACCTCTAGTGTTGGCAGCATGGTGGAAACACAAGGCTGGTCACCATTGGAAGAACGACGACAATCCAGGCTCTCCATGATGTACAAAATAAATAATGGGCTGGTCCACTGTTCCAATATTAAACAGAAACTTGTCCCTCTCCCACGTAGACAGCGACGAGGCCATGACAGGCAATTCAGGCTCATACCAGCAAGAAGCCAGAATAGGAGCTGCTCATTCCTGCCCAAGACAATCAGGGACTGGAACAATCTTTCAAAAGGAAAGGTTGAAGCGAAAACACTAGACACATTTGGGTCTATTGCCTCAAGCCTTCAAACCCCTAGTGCATGATTCCCTCACAAAGTGTGGCACTAGAAATCAGTGAAATTTCCTCATCAACACCAGGAACAGAAAAATTGCAAATCCCATCTACATGCATAGGAGCCAAAATGAACAATAAATTGATCATGGGCCCTTAAGATTTAGAAGATTTAGAAGAAGAAGATTTGTGGCATAAAATACAAAAACATATTTTAAAGGAATGTCCTTTAGGAATGTAACTTGTTCATAAATCAAGGACTGATTGAATTTTTATTTTTTGATGTGGAGCTCAACATGAAAAATTAAAAACTCCCATGCCTTTTATTTTTACAACATCATTATATTACATTTTATCTCATCATTGTGATAGGACACAAAGCTGTTGGACCAATTGAATAAGCTTGATGAATACACAGTATTTGTACCAAGTAATGATGTCATGAAGCCCCTTAATATTAAGGTAAGCTTTGTTATATTATAATCAAATAATGCCCTTCATTGTTTAAAATTAGATAATTAGTTTCTTGACATTGAGCAATATTTTTGTCTGCCATTCATGGAGAATATTATTTCATAATGCATCATTCCATATAAGTCAGAGGAATGCTAAAGAGTAACAAAATTTGAACATAAGGCTCGACTATTTTTCTTTTCACATCAATAAGTAATAATGATTTTATGACAACTACTTAAGTAGCAATATATAAAATTGTCCAACAATATAATTTTATGACATTTTAATCATAAAAACTTACTATGTCATTGTTTTATTATGTTCTGATGAACTCTTTGCAGGAACAAAATAACTAAATTCTTAAGGCAGTTATCATTAACAAAAAAAACAAACAATCAAGCGGTTATAATAAATCAAAACCTCTCAACTAATGTAAAGGTTTTCTGACAATTTGACGCCATAACATCTCCTTGTTTTGCATGTCCCCTGCAGTCAGCCAATTACCTCAAGTATTACATAGTTCCTAAGCTTGTCTTCACACCATCTGTTCAAGATGATGATTGGGCTGAGACACTTCTGGGAAATAAATATCAGCTGAAGTTTACAGTGTCTGGTGATATGGTCAGTTACATTAGCATAATCTGATGTTATGGTTTTTGTTTAATTCAATTGCTCCTAACCTCATGACTACATTAAATTATTGGTTCCTAATGGGGAAGGGGGAGATCATTCCTGACTTGGGGAAATATGGGTTGCTTTGATTGTGTGCTACAGTCAAGTTTATGTAGTTAAAATTTAAACTTGTATAACTCAAATTTATTTGTCAATCTGAGAAAAATCTTTCTAAACTTTTTTGAAGGATGAAAAATGTGTATCCAAAATTTTTACCATGATCTTAAGAACCTTTGAAATCAGTAACAAGCTTGTTATGACAGCCGTATTTTGACACATTGATGTTATTGATCTTTCTATACATATTCATTTTGCTTTAGGTACTTGTGAATGGAGTAAAAATTGTTCAGTCAGACATTCTCTTTGATGGTGGTGTGCTTCACGTCATTGCTGGACTCTTACAGCATAATCTCAGTAGATGTGACCAGTCATCAGAACAAACAGAGAAGGTAAGTTACCAGTCATCATAAAAAACAGAGAAGTTAAGTGACTAGTCATTAGAACAAACAGAGAAGGTAATCATCCAGTCATCAGAAAGGCAGGGAGGGTTAGTGACCCATGCTTTTATACTTATTCCATTTTCAACCATGATAAATATATTTTCTTTCAATATTTATCAATTGGCAATAATTATTATTTGAAGAAAATCTGTCCCCATTGTTATAAATGATGTAAATGAAGAGGTAATTTCCTGAAATAGTTTCCCATTTCAAATATTTCTGACAATGTTGTGAATATTTTTTGTAATCTATTATGTTAAACATTGATCAATTAAAATGTATAACTAATTTTGAAACACTGATTAAATGTCCTGAATTAGCTATAACTAATCATTCATTTTACAGAGCTCATGTGGTCAATGTTCTGATGTTGTGAAAACTGTGACCTGCCCTGTTGGATTTGTGCCTATTAATCCCTATCAAATAGTTCAATATCAGTGTGACCTCCCTGGATCAACAACCAAGGGATGTATGCTAATATGTTACAAAAATAATACTGTGAGTTCTTAAAGCTAATGTGCTACAAAAAGAAAACAAAATATTATCATTAAAAATGTTGTAGATATTTGCTAGTTATATGATTGGTCAAGATAAAATTTGAATAATAGTTGTAAGATTATTTCGTTATTATATTAGAATATAATAAAAAGCATTATAAGATACATAATTGTTCTATTTCTCTTTCAGATTGCTCAGTGCTGCGGGGGGTATTATGGGCCATCTTGTATTGGTAAATATAAGAAACATTTTGAGTTACTTATTTTAATTTAGAAAAGGGCACCTGTCTGAGGTTGAGGTGCAGTTTCTGATAGTATTTCTAAATCTAGTCTTCATTTTAATCCCTACACTCACAGTGGCTCTCACAAGGGCACTCAAAACTCTTACTTTTAAAAATATTTCTGTTAAATGTATTTGAGAACTTCTCCCTGACCAAAAAAACAAAATATGTGGTATATTTAAAAACCTGATAGGATAGGCATGCCAAGTTGGAAACATATTCTCTTTGACATATTCCAAAAAAATATCTTTTACCAGAGAAAGTGTAGTAATAATAATGTAAGTTTAACTATAAATCAACATATTATTTAAATGAAGCAAATCACAATGCCATATTATCACTATAAAGTCGGATTGCTAAGGTTTATCTGGTTTAACTACTACCAGCCTGAACAACCCACTTAATGCTGACTAATTTTATGAACTATTTCTTTAGATTGCCCAGGTGGAGCAGAGACCCCATGCTATGGACGTGGTCAATGTTTTGATGGCATCAGAGGTAATGGAACATGTGCCTGTGTACCTGGCTTTATGGGCCAGGACTGTGGACAGTGTGAGAATAGTAACTTTGTCACACCTTTCTGTAATGCCAGTAAGTCCATTCAGTGATTGAACTTTCGATCATAGTTAATGCTAGTAAGATATATGTATAACTAATTAACTAATGAGAATTAATATGGTGAATACATTTTTAAAATAAAAAATAGTTTTTAATTATAAATAATAGCATAAAATATGATAAAAACTGCCTTCAAAATGTTTGAGATCATTTTCAGCTACTAACTTTCAGTTGGCCTAAGAATGGTTGAAAAATAATTTAAATAATTATTTACCATGGTGAAATTCTAAATGAAGCATAAAAATTGTTTTAAAATTCTTTAGAGCACAAAGGTATACACTCTAACATAGAGAGCTAACATAATATGAAATGTTTGTATATATAAACAATTTTTGTAAAAGAAATAAAACATTAGAAATTCAGGCCCTGTGCAAAGGACGTTTGCAAACAACAGATTCATAGTGCCAAATATAATGTTAACTCTGTGCCTTTAATATGTCTGTTTTGCTTATCTATTCCTAGAATTCAATGGCTGTGGCTACATGAATGGTAACTGCAGCAGGTTTGCTGACTGTACTGAAATTGAGTCTAGCGTTAGCTGTCAATGCCATAAAGGTTATTTTGGTGATGGCAAAACATGTTACTCACTGTGTGATTCCTTGCCTGGAGGTCCCTGCCATCTGAATGCTACATGCCAGTTAAATGTGAGTTATAGAATTTTTTATTTCAAATAAAACTGTTTTAAACATGTTTTAAAATAAATATTTAAATAGCAACATTTTATTTGAATTTTTATTAATGAAAAACCAATCCTTTGTTTTATCTTGATAAACGGGATAAAGATTTCATTAGATTTGCATTTCTTTAATCTTTAGCAGCTAAATATAAATTTTAATACAGTTTGTATTCTAATATTGGTCACATTATAGCAGTGGGTTAATTTATTTTATATGCAGCTTTTACTAATTGTGAGGTTTATAGGGTCCTGAACAAATACACACAGGACCTTTTTTGGTGATAAATTTAAGTCTTAAGTAGCCTAAATTCAACAGCCATCTAAAATTCTAATTATCTACCCAAGGAGGTGCAGTTAAAAAGCTTAATACAAATATGTTAATTATTGTTTTAACTTGATTATTTATTGCAAAAAAATTTTGTCAATCTTCAGTAAATGTCATTTACTTGTAACCTAAACATGTGTAATGAAACTTTAATGGCAGTGGTCTGACATAATTAAAAACCCAGTTAATACCACACAGGGTTAAACTCACGGAAGAGCTCCATTAAAATATTTCAGGAAAAGAACCAAACAGTGAAATGTGAATGCCTTCAAGGCTATCATGGCAACGGCACATGGTGCACCAAAGTGGTCAATCCTTGCACTGTCAACAATGGGGGATGTGACAAAGAGAGAGCCATTTGTTCCATTTCATTGCCTAAAACCACTGACCTATTTCCAGGTTGTTATTTCTATCACTATGATCATAACTCTGAAAGAGTATATACCTCTTATGATGATACATGAGGGACATAATAATTCAGTATCATGGGAGGTAATTACTATTTTCAGAGTTAAAATTCCAAACAGTTTATTTCATTTGTGTGTCATGTGCATTGTGTTAAAAAAATAAACAAATAAAATAATGTTAAAAAAAACATTTAAAAAAACAAAAAAAACCAAATTGTTCTCAAAATTTCCCGTAGAACTTGTTTTGTTTAAAAATATTTTTTTGAAAAAAGTCTCATGATTTTTCATCATTAGTGTTTACTGAAAAGTTTTTTATTAAGTATTTCATAGATTAGTTCAAAGGCAATTTTTTAAAATCTTTGAGATATTTTTCTTGATAAAAATTATAAGTTGGCTACACTTGTCAATGAATTTCAACCTAAAGAAGGCCCATGTTCTTTAAGGTGTTTTCTCTATGACTTAATCTGTTGTTTACTTTATGGGCTACACTCTTAAAAACATTAAGTAACAATAATATAAAACTTTTTTTTACCAGTTATAATAGTATGTGAAATAAAAGAAGAGCATTTTTGGGACTTTTGAAACTACAAAAACTAACATATTGTAACTATTCATAATTTAAACTGTTTTACAATCAGGTGTACCAAAGTGTGTGTGCAACAATGACTATGTAGGAAATGGATCTCTCTGCAGTAAAGATTTCTTGGATGCTGTTGGTAGGATTCCAGTGCTGAGATATTTCTACAAATGGTTGATGGCTGATGTACGTGTGCATTTCATTTTCAAAGTTGGGACAATAAAGATATTCCATTTATTAAATCATTAAAATATTATATTAAAGGCTTACTAATTTATGTATAATTAAATTGTTGTACATGTTCTATAAAACTGGGATAATTTTTATATATATACTTAAAAGTAGGCATCTCCGTAAAGTATCAAATGTGATATACCATACAAAGAGTAACGGTATTTAACTTGTTTTATTTCCAGGATGCATTCAACTCAACATATCTTAATTTGTTCAATGTCACTAATGGAAATATGAGTACCTTGTTTGCTCCTATTAGTGAGGTAGTTAACTTTCTGTCTTGTCAATAAACACATATAAGGTTCATGTTATTTCTATCTTGTCAGTAATCACATTTAGGTTACATGCTATTTCCATCTTGTCAGTTATTACATTTAGGCTACATGCTATCTCCATCTCATCAGTTATTACATTTAGGCTACATGCTATTTCCATCTCATCAGTTATTACATTTAGGCTACATGCTATTTTTACATCTTGTCAGTTATTACATTTAGGCTTCATGCTATTTCCATCTTGCCAGTAATCATATTTACAATACATAATCATCACATTTACACTACATAATCATCTCATTTACACTACATTTTAGCTATTATTTACAATGTAATTATGTTTAGGGTTTATTTTCTTTCATTACTGAGTTGATTCCCTTTCCATGGTCTTCCCAGGACTGGCGGTCACTTAATTTCTCAAGCCTAATTGTCATTGGTCAGGCTATCAGTTTGACCCTTCTGGGTAATTATACAAATGGCACCAAAGACTTGTCTGTAATGTCAGCATCTGGACAGGTTGTTAATATTACAAGAGATGAAATGGGACAGGTAGGCATATCTCATTAGTTTAAAGTTTGAATTACATTTTTTTTATTCACAGCCTTGGACTCCAGTGTAAAGAAAAAACAATTTAATAAATCAAATAGATATACTCTTTAATATTAATCTTTAACATCCTTATATAACATTTTTCAAATATATTATTTTCAGAACTCTCTTTCTTTCTTTCTTTTTTAAAATAGTTTTTTGCCAATGACATTCCTATAGTAGATTCAAATATAGAAACACTGAGTGGCATTCTTCACCTTACTGCTGTTCCAATAACTCATTATGTAAGTAAAGTTTTTATAGAATTATTTTTTTCTGTTTAACGATATATGCAAATAAGCCTAAGAGCACATAAGTTAAAGAAAACAGTTTTGTGTACAGGAATAAAGTCCTCCACTGTCGCTTTGGCATGTACATTTTTTGCAAGGGTTTTGCATTTAATTCTCAGACAAATGTTTCACTCCTGATAGATGGGTCAGGGCATCTTGCCTGCTCAGACTCTGGACAAATCCTTTAACCCTTTTTTAGCTGTTTAATTCTTTCAAATATTTTCAGACGCATATCAAGGTAGAAGCTTCAAGAGAAAGAGCAAAATCAAATGTATGTGATAGGACTAGAAGTTTTAACTTAAAATATTAGTTAAGGGTTGTTTTTTCTCTCCATATTTAGACACATTGTTATCATAATTTAAAACATTTTCTTTACCATTATTCTAGTTTTTCACATAAATGTCTTTCAAAGTTGTGACGGTCTTAAAAATAAATAAATTTATAATTAAAAATTATAATCTGATAACATTGGAGGTAAATTAAAAATCTGATAGTCTATTCAATATTTCATTTCATCTCTCTATATCAGATCAAATGTAATAAAATAATTTTTTTAATTTCAATTATTTTCAAATTGATAATTTCGACTAGCCCATATCTACTACAACTGAAACTGCCTATGTTATTGCCAAAAAATTTCTAATCAAGAAGATTTTCAGACATCTGTGATCAATCCTCTATTGTTTATAAAAGAATTTGACACCAAAAATGATGTTCCTTTTTTGCTTTCATTTCACTAGACATCAGCTATCATTGCATTAGTAGTTGTGGCTCTGGTTGTGGGTCTCCTGGTGGTCACTGGTGTCATTATTTACAGGAAAAAATACTATCAAGGATTTTTAAAGATATTCAAAAAATCAAAACAGGTAATGAATTTCAGGTTTTATATAGATGGAAGATTGCCTTTTTAGTTATCACACATTTTTTCTTTAGTATTAAAGTTTGCCAGCAAAGCTATCCTTGTTTTTGAAATTATTATGGGCATGATGCCAGTAAAGATATCAATTATTTTATGACAATGGAACAAGGTTTGTGTTTGTGGGGTCTTTTTTCTTCTTCATTTTAGTTCTGTAACCTGCCTAATTATTATGCCAATGTAAGTCCAGTTTTACGTTACATCCACTCATATTTATTATAATTGCTGTCTTAAAATGCAAGCAAATGTGAATGAAATTGTGAGTGCTTGGGATAAACCTACTCCCATTCAGGTTTCAAGTTATTTTTAACATTTTAATGCAGCTGAATATAACAATTCTAACTAAGTGTGTGATTAACAGTAGCATATAAATACCATTTTAAAGACTCATGATTTATTTAGGTGACCAATCATGTCTCATTTGATACAAATATCTGAATAAACCTGACTTTAATTGATTGCATTAATAAATGCCCGGATGCAGAATTCACAGGGAAAACTTGTTTTAAACTTTGCATACTTAAAATACTCCATGTATAAATTAAACATTCCATTCCTTTGGCACTCTCATGTTTCTCCACTCTCCAGGGCTCTGACAGTAACTTGTCCTTTGCTAGACTCAGTGCCCAAGAGGATGATGACATATCATTGAAGGATGCAGACATGGCCAATTATGAGAACCCCATATACAATGACCCAGATGTCATGTGACAGTCCAAGACCTTCAACGGAATCTGCATCTTCTTGACATGTCTCTTCACTCAGGCATAGAGATCTACCCTAAAACTGAAGGGAGATTTCAAAACTCTGGGAAAAGCAATGAAAATTTTGAGTTTAAAAAGGACACACATAATTTACCATTGAAGCTTGAAGTTGTTCATGGTCTTTACAGTGCAAATCAATGATGTTAAAATGATATTGTTTATCATGAGTTTGCTTTTTCAGGGGATAGTGCAGTATGTAAAACTTTGTAAAATCTTTTTCTAGTTGTCAGTTAATAGTTAATATTAAATTATCAATTTTATTATTTCATTAAATGGTCAGTGAGACATTGTTCTTTGAAAATCATCTTAACAACGATATTTAATGTTCAGTTTAATTGTCATTTCAATTTAATGGTCTGTTCATTTTAATGGCCAGTTCAATAGACTGATCAGTTCAATTTTAATTGACATGCAGTTAAATTTAAAGGACAGTTTGTTTTAAAAACTCTTTTAAATAATGGTTGATTTAAAAAAAAAATTACTGAATAAATAATGATAGTTTAGTTGACAAAAGTAAAACTGACTCTGGAGGTTAAACCCAGCTAGCATCAGCTCAAGTAATTATTATCACCTCCAGTAACTCTGATCAGCTAAATCAACTACCATCAGCTAAAGCAACAAAGGGAATTTATTATTCCAGAGTTTCATGAAATGTAAATATCTAATTAACAATATGTGATGTGAATGACATGACTATGATTATGATTGTTCTCTAATTTTGTAAGATATTTTTATCACTTTTTTAAATTTTAAAATTACTTTTATTGGTTAGAAAGACAATAAATATAAGATTTCCTAGCAGTTTGTATACATAAAGTGTTTTATTCATTTCTACATTGGTGGGCTGCAAGTTTTAAAAAAAAATATATAATATTATTTAAAAATAATAAGTTGCTTGGTTTCTTATTTACATTTCTTGTGAAAATCCTCAATATTTTAAATTTTATTTTGTTTAAAAATAACAATACCTGAAAAGTAATTTTTAAATAAAGTGTTAGACTATGTATCATCTCTTGTATGGTGTTAAAAAGAGGTAACAAAACTTTGTATATTTTACCTTTATGATTTTTATCAGTATTACCGGTTTGACCAAGTTGATGTCTGTCATGAAATCCATCCATTAAGTTTGTACAAAAAAAAGTTTATAGCTGTCAAATGTATGGCAATGCTTGCTTTTGTTTCTGCATTTGAAAAACATAATTATGTAGGGCCTATACTACTAGCCATGCTGTTGCTCAGATTTCGTTTATGCATTTCAGATCCTTGTTTCAACATGTACAACTCATTTTGGACCTCATATAACTAAATGTTAATTTTTAAACTTTTTTTTTAATGCTT